TGTAAGTTATTTAAAACTAAGTATTCATCAAGTTCTAGTTTGTTTTGGCAGGTAGAAGGTATTGAAATGTATATGTGGGTATGTCGGAAAACTTGGCGTATCCCTTACTAAACTTTTTGGTAACATCAGATTCAAATGTTAGAAGTTGATCAACAGATATACCCAGATTTATTACGTAAACTTAGAGTTAAACTGTGTCACTTATTTAAATACGTTTTGTCACTAACTGCGAAGAACTTGGGTAGTTACTGGAATAATAATTACAATTTAATCTAGAAGAAAAAAAACAAATATCAGTTATTGTAAGTAAATCATGTGAGCAGCGGAAGTAGCGGCAGCCGGCGGCAACCTGGGTGTCCTGTCGGCGAAACAGACCGCCGGTTGGGCGGACGGACGGACTCCCATTATGGTTACGGACTCGCCCCTGGTCAAGATCGCCGGTAACAGCGGTTTGGCGGATCGGTCTCGGAAGCCTCGGGTAAACTCAATCAGAGTAACCGGCAACTCCAGGAATCTCCCGAGTTCCGCAAATGACGGCGGCCACTTCGGTAAAACTAAAACAAAATTACGGGGACCTCCCTAGCGGGAATGCACGCAACAAAACACAAATTAATTAGCGGGTTGCAGGAAAACAAATGCAGGAAAGCGTACCAATGTCCCTCATTTATAATTAATGACACAAAAAGCTTACCTTGCAATTAAACGGAGCGGTGCAAGAAAAAGCAAAAGCTACAGGTACGGTGCGGTAAAAATGCAAAAACAAAAATTAAATACGGTACGGTCGCCAAAGTAAATATGTACAGATAATCCCAAAAATTACAGTACTATACTGTAGGAATGGTAAGCACAAAGAAAGGTGGTCTCTAAGGTAATCGTTTAGTAACATAAAGCTCAAAGAATTTCACCGGTGCCCATTTTGCGCCCATTTAGGTTAATGTTTTTATTTCCACTCTTGTGCCGTATTGCGTAGATGCTTTTGAATTTTTTCAGGCGCTTTTTCACAATTTTTTTCTCGTTTTTTTCGTTTTAAGGCGACTAGATGGGAATTTTAGCCATTTCAATATTTCTTTAATATCTCCGAATGTTGACGAAACCTGTAGCTAGCGTGGTAAATTGCGTCCGATATGTCAATTGTCGGTCGATCGCATCGGAACATTCCTAAAAAACGTAAACGGGGGTTCCGTGGGCAGAGATTTTCATTTCACATATCTTCGTCGCCGCAACGAACCCGTCCTTTTTAATCTGTAAGTTTTTGTGGAAATGAAATAGCTAGGTATTAAACCATCGGTTAAAGAAAAACTACACCTGAAAGGCTTTCACAGAGAGGAACAAATAAAGATACATCGACTAAGAATAGGACACACAAATTTCACGCACCCATGTCTTTTGACGTCGATCTCTCTGTGAAGCATGTGATATGTGACTGCGTAGAGTATGTAAACCAGCGTGATATGTTCAACATAAAGGCTGATGTTAGAACCAATCTTACAGACACATGAAATTTGGAGCACGTACTAAGATTCCTAAAATCGATAGGGATGTACAGTAAAATATAGAAGAGTACTTACCATGGTGGGTGTGAATGGCGACAAGACCTAGGCAGTCGATGCCCAACCTTTAAAAAAAAACAAAAAAAACTGAGACGCAGCGTTGAGAGGGTTTTTGTGTATAGGAGGCTAATAAATTAAGCAGGAAAAAAGATTTTGTATATTGAAGTGGGTTTTCTTTCTTGAAAAACATGCACTTTAGTATTAAAGCAAAATGTTTAAGACTATATAATGTTATTCCACAAAACCTTTTCAAGAACCTACATCATAAATATTTAAAGAACTCGTACATGCAAAAAGCAATAATTTAAAAGCATTCCTCGTTTTACAGCTGTCCCCCTTCGCTATCTGAAATGCAAATGCAAATCGTAGCATGTGCATATCTTGGTTTGCAAGGACGATTTCTGTCAGCAAAAATACAGCCTCCTCATTTCTGTATTAATTTTGACATATGTTCTATCGAAAGATAGCAAAGCAAATTCAGTCTTACATTTTTTATTCACAGTTTTCGTCGCACGTAAGCCACCTTTCCCTACAAGTGGCATTTTATTACGATCGAACCGTCGTTAGCAAGTCGTTCGTACTTACCGTAAACTTGCTATCTTAATTACACCAGAAGCATCAATCACGCGAGGAAATTCTTTACAAATTATCCTAAGTTTAATGAGAGCTGTTAGGAACATATTGTAATTCCAGTCACGTAGTTTGACAAAATCGTTTCCAGCCAATGAGTTTATAACTTTGTCATAATTTCAACTCCGGTGCTGCCCAAGTTTCCAGTTTGTTCATAATATGCTATCCCATAACCTAACCTTGTAACTTGTCCTGAAGTACATGCGTTTGAAACAAAACTAGTTCGTGCATTTTCAGGGGAAAATGTGTAACAGACCGGGGAGAGTTTCGCGAAATCCAAATTAAGTCGAAAATTGTACCTGAAGCTGTACTGCTGAACGTGGAAAACACATTCAGTGTTTACTATTTTTCCCCTTTGCAAATTCCGCTTCCTGTTATGACCCTCGTGCAATCTTTTAATTACTTCACTTACCGAAGAAGGCATTTACTTTCGTCGCAAATAGCGGTTTATTAAACGTTTTTGCTCGAGCAATTTAATTTGCCGGTATTGGAGGGAAATGGAATTTCTACCTTCGTTTATATCCTAATATGAGCATCGCCGAGTAAATAGAGATGCATTCTCATTTATTTCGCCTACATTTTTTTGTTTGAGAATTTCGCAATTACGTAGATATTGTCTCTCTTGTTCCAGAATATTTCGGTGCTGGTCGTTCTTCTGTACAGTTGGAGGATTAGTGTTAATGTCAAGAAATACGCCGTGCTAGAAGATGTCTATTATGGTAAATGTGAAATTAACCCTTACATACTTACGAATTAATTTGACGTTTTTTAGGGGTGCAAATTGCGTACCTTGCAATTATTGGAACGCAACTTTTCATGATTGTGCTTAGCGTAATTCTCCTATTAGGAATTTATAAGGTAAGTGTTCAGTGACATAGTACTCAACTTGTGCCCTAATTCTCTCTAATGTAATAATGCCTGACAGTTGATAAGAAGCGTATAATCCATCCCTCTTCGTAATCCCGAATTAAATTTAATTATACGCTTGTCACATTTGAGTTGTGTCTCATCAGTTTCACCAACGCAACAGGTTTCGTGTGTTAATGTTTAAAGCACTTGTCTTTTACGACTGGGTACTTTGCAACATACCGATGCTTTCTACTATAAAATTTGCAATAGCTTTTGACGAGGTTGAGAACATGAACGCGGATTCTGCACCGACTCATTTGGCACGTAATAGCTTTTGTATTACACTGTAAATCCCAGAAATTGCAATACCAAATAAAATACAGATACTTTATTTAAATTACTGTTTTCAGGATTATTGTTTGAGTTTATATCCAATACTATTATATTCTACCTTTAAAGAATTTTCATTGCGATTTAGAAAATGTCAAAAAATTGCTATTATAGTAGTCCCAAAGTACTCCTTACGCCTTTAAATGTCACTCATTTGAATACAGCAGCAGTAAAATAGGAATAAATATAACGTAAAATACAAAAGTTAGTAGAAATATTGCTACAGTTTCCATTCTTCTCTTTAACGTAATGTAATTCTCGATCATGTGAAAGGATACTTTGAAATTCGCGATTTACGAGATGATGACTCATCAAAATCGTTTTCGGGAAACCTATAAACCAGTTCTCAAAGGGAAAAATCTGCTTCTCTCTTTTGCAGAAACGAATGTAAAAATAACTTCCGAAATTTATCAAAGACAACAACATGCTTTCTGCTATTAAAATATTAGCCAGGACTTTTCAACGAGATGGCGCACTATCCCATCCTTTCAAAAGTGCCATAACGTAAGATGGAGTTGGGGTCTTTTTCCGCCAACTATTGGAGTAATTCGCGGACTAATTTGCGTTCAAAGTCATTTAAATTGATCTACAGAGAATTGATGGTGGATTATAGGATTTGTTGGCAATTTGGTCTTAATCCGAAGATTATTTAGATTGTTGAGATTATATAATGGAATGCGATAGATTATGACGAAATTAATTTGATTGGTGGCCTATAATCTCCATATAAATCCGTGATTAATTTTGCCTAAGACTTTCGCTTTCGCTTTGATAATAGACATATTATTTGGTCCATATAAAATACCTGCATCTCGATTCACATCTGTGATTAAAATTTGCCTGGGGCTATTGTTTTGATTTATTTGTCATATCATTTGGCCTAGCTAAAGATGATCAACATCTAAAATATTTTGAGATCCACAAGTTCTTTTGTATAAAATAGCCTGGGGTACTCGTACTTGATAAACAGAACACGTGGGGGATCATCTCTCATCTATATCATGATCTTTGCACTTTATTTCGTGAATTTAATTAAATTATTTTTTATTTTCTTTGACATTTTAATTAATTTACTTCACTTAAAGAAAATTGTGTTTAAATAAGCAGTATAATACAGTAAAAATGACATGCTAAGACATTTTGTTTTTATACCTGTACGCTACTCTTAAAAAATGACAAATTATGCATGTCAAATTGACCAAAGAAGAAAACAAAGATTCTAGTGTGAGCATTAGTTCTATTGATGACTACGTATAAAGCTAAGCAAAACGTTCAACAAAAAAGCCTCCGTACTTACGGTTATTTCGAAAATCCTTATTTTTCCAAAAATTCACATTCTAAAAGAATGCACAGATAATTTTATTTTATTTTTGAGTGGGTGGGGTTTTAGCCAAGGCGGCTCTATCAACCCAACCCACTATATACATGCCTGAACCCGGATTCGAACCAGGGACCCTTAGCACCACAGTTCAGCTTTAACTGAACTGCACCACACGGGCACTATAATTGCGTAAATTAGTAGATGATGAGAGTCTGATAAAATTGATAATAATCATACGCTGATATTAACGCGAATTTGTTTCGCACTTTTGAGGTTTTAATTTTAGGAAGATATTAGAAATACGTTTCAGAATTTGTAAAAATGTTTGAGTTTAATTTTATAGCATAAGAAAAATAAGTTTTTTAGAACTTATTTAGTCATTCATAGCCCCTTTTAAAAACACACAAACAATCGAACTTTTTTGCGAATATCTCGGACGTTTTGTACGAAATCCGAATATTCGCAAAGACTACAATCAAATGACAATGTTAGGTAACTTTGTAGAAGCAAACATGAAAAAAAGCAATATAGAATAACATTAATAGTGTTATGTAACCGAATCAACCTTCAAATATATGATGTTTTTTATTCGGACCTCGTAATCGTGTATTTTGTATCATTTAGTTTAGTGATTCGTGGTGTGACAGTGATAAGTTCAGAGAATGGATTAAAAAAGAGAGGGAATTCCGCATTTAGCAAGGTGACATGAGGTGTTGAGCTTTCATCATTTAGATAAAATACTAAATAAACGACAAATTGCCGAAAGTAACGTTTTGTTAAATTTGGCCTGTTATAGAACTTTATAAAAAATATGTACAAAATAATTTTAATTACTTAGAAATTGGATGATGGTCCTTACCATTTCTTTAGAACTTGTAAAATTCTGAGGTTTTAATTTTAGGAATATATTTGAAATACGTTTCAGAACTAGTAAAAATTTTCGAGTTTAATTTTATCGCATAAGAGAAATGAGTTTTTAGAACCTTTAGCGCTCTTAAAAATACAGAAACCATTCGCAAGACGCAAAAGTTGTGGCTAATATTTTCGATGTATACGAATAAATTTCGTTATTTAAAAATAGATATGGATTTATCATTCAGAAAATCTGAAGAGGTCTGCTCGAAGTCTGGGATTGAAACAACATATACAGGGAAAGCGACTACGGTTTGGGTGGTGTTGCAATATGAAGTCTGAATCTCTCCGTACGACATTTGCTATTGCAAAAATTCTTCCACGTTTCTCTGTAGATGGAATGACAGTTCTCTCGTCACCCTGGTATCAAATTGCGAAGGAGTTCAGCCGATTCAGCAGGCAAAGAGGTATTATTTCAAAGAGAGGAAATCTATTACCAGCAATCAACTAAAGCTAAATAAGGGCTATAATGAAAATATGGGTCGCACAAACTCGATGAATCAAAATGTAGCATTCAACATAACTACCATAAGATATACCACACACTTTAACACGAATCTGACAGACTTTTCTCAGAAACAAAAAAAAAACTAGTAAGAGTTCTCTTGTATTACACCAATTATTTCTTCATTCCATGCGTAAATAGTTATTTGTACAACTAGTATTGAAAGTGATACTTTTTTTCATGAATTTGCAGTTTGATTAATGAGGGCGCTAGGGGTATAGCCGGCTGGACTTCTGGTACCAAAATCAGCGTCACAGACATTTACGGTCTATTTCAAAATAACCCGACACAGCATAGTTTACTGCTCATTATTCATATTTAAGCAAAAGCCACTTCCTCTAATAAATTCAACATCGTTATTAACCCGATGACACTCAAAATTTCTCTAAGTCGTCAGACCTGAGAAAACACCTGCATAGCTTATCTCGCACGTGACGCTGTTTGTCGAAAATCCAGTTAATTCTTGTCCGATAACAATTTTTTCTCAACACATGACCAGAAAACTTTAGTCACGAAAAATTTTCGAACAAATGTTGCCTTAGTTACCCGTTTTAAATTTATCGTACAAACTGAATACAACTTATAGAATTAAACGATTAAATTTACAATAAAAAACTCTCATTAAAATGACAATTGAACAAATTTTTCTAATTGTGTGTCTATTTGACAGAAAAATGCCCCAGATGAAATAACTTGAAAGATACAGTTATAAGTGAGTATTTGTCATATGTATCGTCAACTATTCATTTGGTTAATTAAATCAACTGCGAAGGCCATTCTTGTTCATCAAATTCCAATAGTTTACAGGGCGAAACTGCGGAAACAACATTAACTTTCATCAAAATAAATTATGCAAAAAGGTGTTAACCTGAAACACGTGCCCAAAAACTCTGCGACCGTAAACTTCGCGACACCGCTTTCAGAGAAATAACTGAATTAAATACAACTTCACTTGAGGAATACGAGAACTTGCCTTCTTTATAAAGTTTGGATTAGCGGTCCTTTAATTATTTCGCAACATGAGATTTAGGGAAACGAAACTTGACACGCGTTCACCTTTTAAGATGAGGTATTTTTCCGTTTCCGCGCATTTCGAACAAAATGAAGAAAGGCAATTAAGGGAAAAGTTGAATTTCTCGGTATTATTATTGTACTACAAGAAAATCTTTTTACACTGTGATTTTTAACAGCAATTAGGTATCCACCGTGCGATGTTAACAATTCCGTTAATGAAGTTTAAAAGTTTTCTAGGGGCGTTTTGGGGTTCGTGACAAGGAAATTTAAACATAATTTTGCTTTAAGCGCTTTAAAAGATTTGATAGTTTGTAACAAAAGGTCTCATCAGCGTTGTATTTATAGAACCATACCCTTTCTGTATTAAACTTAGAAAAAGAAAATTCTCGCAAAACATTGAAATAAGTACAGCATTTTTTTGGATAGCCATATTGCATCATAGGTAACCTATAGCACAGATATACGGTAGGTATCTGTGCCTATAGGTATCAGTACATCCTTGAATCGTTGTTGGTACAGGACGATTTTTCTGTATACAACAATTACTTCGTTTGTATTTGTAATTTTGTACATGTTATTTATTATACAATCTGTAAAAATTGTATTAGGTTTTAATGCAATACTTCTGAAAATTGGCAATGAACAAAATATTAATGTTGTGCGTACACAAAGCTTTTAAAATGTTTATTCGATTGGTTAATTAATTACTTAATGGTACAGTCAATATTTTCAAATTATTTAACTTTATATTAATATCCATTAGAGGCGATGAAATTTTAAATTATTCGGCGTTGAATTAGCAGGCCGTTTGCAAATAACGTTCAAATGTAAAGTATTCCACGTCCGCTCTTTCCACAAGTATAACAC